AGGCATGTCGATGTGGTAAGCATCATGAACTGATTGTTTCTTTCGGCGAGTGAATTGTTCTGGGGATGTCCTGGAAGCGACTGGTCTAGTGGAATCCGGAGTTCCTTGAGTGCTGATTCGAATTGTGGCGCATCATCCGAGTAAGCGTTGGTGACCTTTCTCTTACCGATATAGTGCTTCATTGCCTGCACCACTTCGTCACTATTGCTCGCTTTCAATGGATAACCCCATATCACACCAGTGAACCGATCTCGAATCACCAATATGTCCTTATCCGGCATGATCCCATCTCTCGCCATCTTCTGAGTGTTCATGAGATCGAAAGTGATAAGGTCACCGAATGCCTTCAATTTCCGTTTGAAAGCTCCCTTGCTAGTCTTGTAGTGCTTCATCTTTGCTCTCACACATGACTTGCAATATGGGTTCTTGTATCGGTGCGTCATCAAGTGCAATATGGATTTCGCCTCGTTCTTCAGCACTCCTGGTTTTGATAGTCTGGTTTCCCCGTCAACCACATCGACTTCCAATAGTCCCTCTTCATCTTCATCAATGTCACTCTCCCCTCGTTCAGAATCCGCATCACCTCCATGTTCGTCGCCTCCGGCTTCTTCAGGTTGACCTTCGTGATCACGATCGAATCTCGGGTCTTCCCCGTCATATTCCTCTTCAGGAGAATACCTGTCATCACCGTGTTCCTCTGGTTCTCCTTCGGCGCCTGCAACAGCTGGATTGATATCAGATTCACCATCCTGACCTCTCTGGTTATCTTTCTTCTTTCTCCTCCGTCTCCGTGGTTTCTTGGGCGGAAGTTCCTCTTGTTGTATCCCCTGACCTGCTGTGACCTCGTCTTCATGCCCCACACCTGACAGTATGCGATGAAGTATCGTAGCCAAGCCGTCTGGTCTTGGTAAACATCTCCCGTCATCATCATTCACCTTGATGTAGGGTATGTTGTCATGCACCGATAGCGGAATCTTGTTCGCGTTCTGGTCGATGAGGTATGGCAATTGATTTGCCGGCCATATGAATGAGTACCCTTGTTCCATGCACCGTTTCCCGATGGAAAAGACTGATGGTGTGCTCTCCAACACGTGTGCCTCGGACCTCATGGGTAGCTCGTCCACATTGATGTCCACCATCTCTGATGTACTAGTTACACCATTCGCTGTCATGAAGCTCACGGATTTGGGTCCTTCCTTGGTGGTAAGGCCCATGGCATTGACTTTCTCTTTTGAGATCAAATCGTGTCCACATCCCGTGTCCATGATGAAGCGTATTGGTGGTCCATCATACCTCTCCACAGCCATGAACATCGTGTCTCCTGGTATCGTGTAGTTGACAGAATCCTTCCTTACTACCTCTCTGGTGTTGAAATCAGACAGGTCGACGTTCACCTCGATTCCTTCATCTTGAGTGATTTGTATCCATGCCTTGGCAATGTGTTCAGCATAGAATAGCTCCATCATCTTACCTTTGGCATGCGCTACTCGTGCAGCTATATTGCTCACTCTGAGGGCTCTCAACGACGAAATGAGCTCGGTATCCACCTTCTGCACCTCACTCTTCTTCTTCCTGAGGGGACGGATGTTTAGCTCGTTACCAGGATCGCAGGTGAACGTGGTCACATTCGCCTGGTCATCAAATCTGACTTTAAAGCGAAGCGCCAGCTCACCTTGTTGTACGTTGGGAAGTGCGGGTTGTACGTCCTCGTCATCACTCTCGATGTCTCCGCAAAGCATGAAGGCTGGCGCAGCCGGTTTGGGCTTGGCTTTGCCTTTAGCCTCTTGTTTTGTAGCAGGAGCAGCGTGACGCTGACGTCGACATTTGTCCCCGAACTTGCACGATCCTTTCTGCCAATTCCAACAGACCTGATCCTTCATTGGCTTAGGGCTACTGCTCCTGCCACCAGGACTCTTTGATCTGTCGCCCTTGAGGCTTTCTGGTTTCTTAGCAGAACTCTTGTGCTTCTCTTGGTGACTAAACTTGCATTTGTCTCCTCTAGAACATCCGTTTTTCCCATGGAAGTGGAAAGCGCATCCTATCTTGGACGTATCTGCTGGAGTCGCTGACCTGCCACGATCCCCTTTTGGGCTCTTCGTGGCTGATCTTCCACGATCCTGCTTCTTGTCCTTCTTGTTATGGTCCTTCGGATTAGCCTGAGGAAGTACTGGAGCGGCGTCATGTTTCGGTGGATCGGCCTTGGTATTCTTGGGTTTCGCTTTAGGGTCCTTCTTCTCCGCCGCTGGTGTGGCTTTCACGATGTTCCCAAAAGCTTTTTCCCTTTCTTTCTTGTTTGTGGTCTCAATTGATTTCCGTATCCACTTCGTCATGATCTCTCGTAACTTCTGGTAGGTCTTATCCGGATCCTTATCCAACATGTTGTCGTACACAGACAAGTCTAACGCCATAACTTTGGAATCCTTAATCTTATCCCAAAGCAGGTTGCGAAGTGCTTTGTCAGGAAGCATGTCATCCGCATCCATACCTGATATGATCTCATCCCACTGTCCAAGGAATCTGGATAGTTGATTATCCCCAGGGAACTTTAGATCGAATAAGTGCTTGGATGCATACATCACATCAACGTTGTCGGCACTCCGGAAACTATCGACGATCAACGCTAACATTTCTCGTCCCTTGACCATTCCAGGAGTTGTGCCTCTCGCACGTCTCTGCATCATCTGCCTCACCTTCAGTTGTACGTCATGAGATCTCTCACCTGCTGCGTGGATGATCGTGTGTAGGGTGATACCTAGCTTAGCGTCTATGCTAGCGAATCTTGCTTCGCCTGATGTCTCGAGTAGAAATGGGTCATATGGTGATCTGAAGGCATCCGAGAGCCATTGGATCCAGTCTTCTTGCTTGTCGCCCGATGCCGTCACGACTGCCGCTACAACCTGGGATTTCCAAACCTCCAAGTCGTGTATCTTGGGCCATGCAGGGATGTTGATCTTCTCGTGTTCCTTCCGAGATATCTTGGAGCCACCTGAGCTAGAGGATGAAGCGGCACCATGTTCGGTTGCGGCTGCATTCTCTGCACTTGTGCGCTCCTCTTCGTACCTCTTCCGGTACTTATTCCTTTCATCTCTGAGCCGTGACGCATGCGCTTCGAATTCCATCATGTCCTGTTGGTTCTGCATCATACCTTCGTAGTACTCAATTGCCTCTTTCTCCTCGGACCTTAATAACTTTTCAGTACGTTCAAGTTCCGCTCTAAGCTTGGTCATCATCTCATTCTCTACATTGGGTTCTGATCCCATGTCTGGTGGTTTCAACTTCAGTGCGACCTTCAATTGTGCTTCACTTGCGCTTGATTCGATCAATTCTTCCTGAAGACGTTTCAGCATCCTCTCTTTACGTAGAATGTCCTCTTCCAACATGTTCATCTTGACTTCGGCCTTCTTGAGTTCGGCGCTGGATGGTTGAAACGGTCGATCGGATCCTTGAATCCTCGTCTGAGTCAACTCCTCGTTCGCCTTCTTCAATTGCTCTCTGATGCTCAAGATGAACTTGTCCTGAGTATTAGATCGGTTGTTGAGCTCCTCATTCTCTTCTGATAACCATTTGATCTTGCTTGCATACATTGCTTCCCTCATCTTCATCTCTTCAGCATATTCGTGTTTGTTTCTGGCACTCTGTCTTTGTAGTCCAACTAACTCCTGTCTACACAGATCCTTGACGTTCTCAGCATCTGCGATTGTAGTCATGACCTCGGTTACGGCTCGATCTCTTTCTGCCGATATAGCCTGGATCTCTTCCGTGCCGATGTTCACAACTTGACTAACCATCTCTGCGCTGTTGCGATCAGCGTACTCCCCTAACTGGGTGAGACGATCCCGCATTGCCACACGATCAGTGTCCATCTGGTATTGCAGGTCGTGTGCTGCTGAGAGCAAACAGTCTCTGGATTCTGTAAGTTGGGTGATTCTTCGTTGATTTCCATATCCTTCGACATAACATTCTTCGAGGTGTGCCATCACTACTTCGTGGACTTCGGTCTCGTGTTGTATAATCTGGTTCTGTCTCTGCTCACGTTCGACCATCCATGCGTTTTGGTGGTTCAACATATGCACTTCGGCAAGTAGTTGCGCACACTTCGCATTCAGGTCTCCATCGGCCCGTGCTAGTTGTAGGTTGTCAGTGCTTGCCCTTGCTCGATCTCCAGCTTCGCTGTCCGACGGCACTGGTACAGCTGACCCATCCTGCAATGCTAGCGCTCTCACAGCTCCGGTGTCAGTTCTCCTCCTCGTCTCCCTAGGGCTACGGCCTGATCTCGGTGTCCCCCACGGTGGTGTCGAGTGCGCTGACGGGGAACGACTTCGTGCTCTACCTGTCGCAACCTCTCTCACCACTGTCAGAGTCTCCGCTTCTATCGTACCTGGACTGGAGTTGTGGGATGCACTCATCCGATCTGCGGCCGCAGCAGCTGCTCCAAAAGATGCAGTGCTGGCGTCGGATTGGTCCATCTTCAGTGACTGAGGGTAACTGATCTATCCGATGCGTGTGCGTCTAGATGGTGTTGTGTAAGGCCGCAGCTCGCACCCAGCTCAAAGGAGTCTGGATACGGCTGATAACCTGCGAACGGATGGAAAGGTGTGCCCTGGCCCCGTTCTAGCTCTTAGGTCAACATGAAGCTCGCGCGCTAAAGCTCCTTTTTACCTGGTTGGGCACTTGAGCCAAAAGTATATGGCATGTACCTGTATAGCGACTATACTGGGACCCCATCCCTATTGACAATTTCAATTGTCTTTACTTCGAGTGATCCCCACCATGACATTTCATTCTGACATATTTTTTGGCATGTATTGAACATATAACATATTGAAAAAAGAGTTCGCCATTCTTTCTCGCATATCTTCTGACATTTTCTGAGAGGAGAGGAGAGGAGAGGAGAGGAGAGGAGAGGAGAGGAATGCAGGAGGAGGAGGAGGAGCAAGGCAGCTGACATAAAATCTAACAACCCTCACCTGACAGGTGGGGAAAATAATGAGCTAGGCTTCAGGTTGGAAGTTGTACTTGGTCTGGATCTCCAAACACTTCTGCCTCGAAATGGCTATCCAGCCGCTGGCGTTCTTCATCAATTCTGTATCTAGGCCCTGCCCTTGCAAATAGCCCAAGGAGTATCCGTAGAGGTCATCATAGGAATAATGGTTTGCGTCCATGTAGCTTGTGATTACCTGGCCCTCAAAATTGAAAGTGATCAGGGGACCATGATCTTTCCCGCGGTAGTCACCCATCTTTCTTAGACCAAGTATGCCCTCCTTGGCATATTCGATAAAATCCTGATCGTTATCAGGTAACGGAGACACCCAAAGAGCAGTTTGATTGAAATAGCAATAGCCATCCATTCCTGGATGTTCGGCCATCACCTCTGGAACTGGCCGATAGCAATCCTGCCCGTGAGTGTGCACTTTGCAGTTGTTGCTGCAGAAGCTGTTGGCAGTTAGATCGCATATTTCGTAGATCAACCGCCCGCAATTTGTCAAATGTCCTCCTGCTCCTCTCGCAAACTTTCTCTGTTTTTCCACCTGGAGCAGAAAATTGATGCCTGGCACGGGTTCAATGCAGTCCGCCATAGCAACCCCAATACTAAAGGCAATGAAAAGCATGGCCATGAGTCTTCCGCCGCCCTGCTCAATGGACTTCTGTGAGCCACAGCTATCATCAGATGCAAGCTAACTCAGCATGCCCACGCTACCGAATCATGAAGACAAACTTGTTAACGTTACCAGTTCACCCTCGAACCGCCCCTATGATAGAATTGAATATGATTGCCCAATCAATGATGGATATATTTGGGGAGGGTTGATTGGGCATGATAAATATTCATATCATAGTGGCGGTTATGTAAGACTTGTGAATCAATATACATGATAAATCTATATGATTTATGATTATTTATGAATATGTATGATGTTTGATGCCCAAGCAACCCTCCCCAAATCTGGACCCCAACGAAACCTGGTTCCGTTATTTGTTGACATACAAGACTTCCGCAGCAAGCAATTTGCTGCGGGCCGGGTTCAAGGGTTCTTTGAACCGTTCCAGGGGCAGCGCCTCTGGCAAGTTGGGTATTTAGATCGAGATTTAAACAGTCACATAAAATAACACTTGCTTATGTAATGCATCTACAACAGGGTTAAAGCCATGTGTAAAAAGAGCAAGAACACCAGTCAAGTTGTAAGTTCCATGTAGTACAATATATTATTGTTAATAATTAGCATGGTTCAAACCGAATATAAAACCTAAACAAAGAAAAAAACAGCAAACGCAAGCGTGTCTAATTTCAAAGCACCACTGAAACCAAAAAACACGCTCCCAAACCCCGATGAAATACGATGAAATACGTTCAAAGGTCATCGCGCGGAACTTAATTGCTTAAAGGTGAAAAAAAAACAGATCAACGGAGCGTCCAATGCCGTGACAAACCGTGACGGTGGGAGGGCCCGCGCCAGCCAGGCGCTCTGAGGAAGACACACGTGTACTTGACTTCGCTCTGAGGAAGCATACAGGCAACAGAAAAAGAAGTCCTGGCCCTAAACGATGAAATCATCAGAGATCCATGCGGGACTAAAGCATGACATCGTCCTTTCCCTGTAGCACACTGGGGTGCCCCAACAAAATTTGCTCTCCCTGCAACTAATATATGGAAGTGGAGTTCACCACCTGTTTGTAGAGGAAAAATGGTCTTCCAAAAGGCCATGCCATCCACCTTCCATGTTAGTTCCAGGGTGTAGGACGGATAACCAACGGCTGGCAGCTGTCTGTTGCTTCGATCTCCGATCCCCTACCCCCTACCCCTACCTACGACCAGTCGCTCCAAGCACGGAGAAGGTGTTCTGGATCCTTTTCGGGATGTCAACCTCTACTATGTGGAGTCATGTTCAAGATCAAGCAGAACACAACTCCACATAGTATAGAGGTTGACATCCCGGATGTTCGCTTATCATCTCGCTTATCTCTTTTGAGGGGGAGGGAAATCAATACCTGCATATCACTCCTTGATCTTGGAGCTCCAGAAGGGCGTCGGCGAAGCGTGCCGCCGGTCGCCTACCACGTACCAATCCTGGCAGAGGCCACATCTGCGTTGGAGATGCACGTTGGGTGTGGGCCTAGGCCTCTGGATGCATCCGATTCGTAGGTGTTTTGTATGGATGACTCAGATTCAAGAGCTTGCCTTCAGGGAATTCCATTCCAAGCCACTCACTGAACTGAATCCCAATGCAAACATCAGTTATCACAAAAACACTCCAAATTACATCCAAGTTGTGAGGGCATGGTTTAGTTACTTTTGGAATACTCTCAAATTCCAGTGCGACCACAAGGTGATCTCGATGGGCCACTTCACAGATGGGCCACGTTGACCTGCTGCAAAACATGTTGTGCCCATCTGTGCAGTGTGTAGGTGCCTACAATAAATACGGGGTCTCTCCGAAACCATTGATTGTTTAATCATTGGTCTACGTCGATCTATCCCAGCTTTCAAAGACCATGAGAAGATTGGTTGACCTGCTGTTGTATAGTCGAAAGTTGAAACAAAAAATTGTTCGGTAAACTTGATAAAAACCACGCAAGACCCATTAAAGTCAAGGGTGTGTCCAATCCTAGGCCTTGCCGCGGCCCTGGGATTGGACGAGTGAACAACGTGAAAAACAACTCGCAGCTCGCAGCTGACGCCGCCCCACCCCAAGGCCGAGCCAGTCCTGAAAGTTCTCGGATGCTAAAAGTACGGGATAAACCTCGGTGGTTGACCCTGCAGTGCAACGGCACTTGAAATGTTGAATTGGTTGATAGACCTTGCCGAATGTTGCTGATAAGCACATATATTAGTTTGCCGTTTGGTTTCGTTCTTTCATCGTAATGAATGGGTTTTGTTTCTAGCTGGTTGTTCCACTTTCCTGATTCAAAATCCATTGGCTGCTCTTCACCACGCACTCAACGCGCAAACCCTTCCAAACTGGCGCAAACTATTCCAATGTGGACCTCGAAGGCTTTGACTAACAGATTCAAGAATTTCAGTGCGTGGGCTTTATGGATCCACTTTGGTGGGTAACCGGCGTTCTTCGCCAAGTGTCCTTCCAGCACGTGTCCCTCCCGTATCTGTCCAAGAGACTGCATGGATGTTTTTGTCAGAGAGCTTGGGGTCGTTCAATGTCAGCCCCACCTCGAAAGCCACCTGCTCCAAAGCGGTGTGGATGGAACTCAAAAATACTCACAAGTTGTTGCTCAAGCTGGCTTCAGTCTACATAATGTAGCCGCTTGCTTCAGAAACGTACTTTCCCTTGTGCCAATGCGTTTGGACAGCAACTGGCTTGTGGCGTCATAGCCACATGGGCTGCGCGCGCGGTGTGGGCACTCACAGAGTTGAGGCGTCACGTGTCTTTTTGGATACGAAGTATTCGGATGTGACATGGGGACTGAGGACAAGCAGGTAGGACGTGTCAAGTGAACGTGCTTCACTAACTTCCAACAGCTTCCGCGCAGGTTTCCGACAGCTTCCTACAAGTGCTTTGAATGCCGCCACTGATGGATGATCATTCAACTGCTTCCGTCCACCAAGACGTCCTCCATACATGTTTTTTACTCTCGAGGCACATTGCAGCAGTTCAGTGTGGTCACCAAGCTGTCATGCTAAGCCTGCAAGATTCTGGACTGTGGTGCGGTCGAGCGGCAAGCATATGTCAAGCAAAGATCTATGTCAGAAACTCATAAGCGGAAAATTTGTCGCCGTCCATTGTGTGAAACTGATAAACTGATTGTGAAATCAATATATATATATAACAATATATATAGTAATAATACCTGGAGTGTCTGCGTAACCTAGCAAAGACATATCTGCCACCTACTCGAGTTGGCTGTCTTTTTCAGCCAAATCTGCCGCCATCCCCTGCCACCGCAACTCCGGAGGAGCTAGGCGACCCTCGGGTGTCTTTGCAAGGGATCGACTCGAAATGCCAGGACCCACTTGCCGGGCATGGTCAATGCTCTGGTCAAAGAGAGGAAACCTCATTGAACGCTCTGGTCAAAGGAGAAGCTCCGTAAAGGCTATGCCTATATAGACGAGAAGATTAAACTCAAAGGGAAGGAGCTATACTGGCAAAAAATACTTCCCTAGGGCTCCAAGTACCTTCTAAGAAGGTGTTTGGGGTGGGTTTAGAGGGTCCAAATACCTTCTGAGGAGGTACGACTGGAGCCCTAGGCCCTAGGGCTTACGAACTCGTTCAACCGACCCGACCTGGTGGCTCGCCACCGACATGTCGATGGTTGAAGTCATGATGAGGCAGAGTACTGGGCCACACGCTCACCCTCCCCCGGAGCCAAAGCCAGTCTGCGTAGCAAAGCAAAGATAGATTCAGAATGAGGAAGGAAAATCCCTTTCCTCAGCACGCATTAGAGATCATGCGTCAGGCATGTTCTCTATTTTGTTGGGGGGGAACCATTCCAACACTTTCAGCGAGCGTCCATGATCTTCTAGGGTTCCTGTCGCAGGAAACGATGGTGGTTTACAGGGAAACATCTTCCAAGTCTCTTGCAGTCTCCCAGTCTCCGTGCCGCCCAGGTGTGTTCCTGCCCTGCAATCCTCCCCCCCGCGTCCATCCGTCCCTCGTCATCCTTCTTGGATTTGCTTCAGGAACTTGGAAAAAATTTGCAGAAGGGGATTTTCCATGATTTTCCCATAGGGCCACATAGGGAAACCAAAAACAATCACACTAAGCCAAACCAGGTCTTCCGTTGCGCCCCTGGGACCAAAAGAGTTGGCCGCCAACACCCCACTCCTCTTGCCACATCTTCGAGCAAGAAGAGCCCGTCTGACAGAGGAAATAAACCAACAAAGAAAGGAGGATACAAGTAAGGGCAGGATCGGATTCCTCTAAAGAGAACCATGACGAAAGAAAGAGAAACGCTCGTCACATTCCTCTCGTCAGATCAAAAAAAACACCATTCCGCCCCGAAGAAAGAACACCCGAAACGCTAAGCCCAAAGGTGAGCTTCACCCGATGTTGTCCCTCCTTTTCCGGAAAACCTTCCCACACTTGCCAACAGAGGTTAAGTGACCTTATAGGACCCTACCACAGGGTACCTATGGGATAGCCCAAAAGGGTTCTTCAACCTCTGTTGGTGGGCCGGACGACTCCTCTCGGTCTCCCCCGCACCTCGGTATCTCCCGCGTGATTCAGCTGAGCGCCATTGGCCACGCAGCTGTAGTTGCAGCTCTCTGGGGTGCTCGGGATCGGCGTGATCTCAATCGGCCTCGGTCCGGTGGTTGCTCATACCAGGACCTTCCAAGAGGTTGTTTGGAGACCCAAACAGATCTAACAGGTGGTGAACCTGGGCACCTGGGCTGTTGTCACCAGGAAGCACCTGTAGAGTCGGGTGCTGGTAGAACGACTCAATTTTATAGGTTGGCAAGGTTAGCTTAAGCCTATTACTCCAATGAGTATTGCATCTGGCCCATTGTACTGGCGGCTACATAGTGTTGGTTGTTTCCTTTCATGTCTTTTCACTCCACGCACATTCCATCGCCCCTTCAAGCGCGCTTCAACCACTGGAGGCACCTGCCAGCCAAGTCTCAAAAGCTCATCTCACCCGCCACCTCCATGTCCCCATGCACGGTACTGTCCCACCCTCACCCGCGAAAACGTCCTCGCACCCGCGCGCCCTCGCCTGAAGTGCTCGTTCTCCCCGATGGCCCGGCCGCCGCCCGTGGGGATCACCGGCCACGCGGGAAAGGCCTGCGGTTGGAGCGGCGGTTGCTGGGACGGAGCCCGGCC